CTCATGACGCCCCGCTAGGCGTCATGAGGCGCCAAGCCTCACTGACAGAAGCCACTGTGTGTATTTGGGCAGGCAGGTCACACACACACACAGACACTGCAAAGAACCCCACTCAGGCAGCTCCCTCCACCTGCTTTGCTTGCCTGTCAGCATCACGCCCGTCCTCCACCGGACTCGTGGGATCAGCGCACTGCTACCACTTGCTCGGGTGCATGTTGGTTCGGTTTGTGTTGAAGTGCAAGAGGTCGATCCCGTAGCACACCTGTCGTGGATTCGAACGGGTTGATTGCGCTCGCGTATGGAGTTATGGAGCCGAAAGTGCATGGACTGTGTGCACATTGAATCCGCTCTCGGTCCACCCGCAACCACGTGCAGTGCAGAAAAAGCAACACCAAGACAAATCCGTAAGTCTGATGTGTGGCCATGAACCAACAGGGAGGCACCAACACTGCAAATGGCAAGGCTGCAAGCAGACCTGATCACAGCTCAACAAATGGAGCGGCTGTAATATTGTATGGGGGCCGTACCCTCCCCCGCCCCCACTCCCCTGCTCCCCCGCTTCTCGACCCCCCTCCCCCATCTCTGTTTTAGTAGGGCATGCACCCTAGAACAGGGGAGGGGGAGGGGGGGAGGTGGCATGCAGCACACGGGGGAGGCCTCTCTGTTCCTGTAGAGGTCTTTCTCCAGCAGGGGAGCTTTGCATCAGCATTGGGGGAGCCCTCTGCGTCCTGGGGGGTCCCACTTTCAACAGGGGAGCCCTGCAGCACTCGGTGGAGGCCTCTCTGTTCCTGTAGAGGTCTTTCTCCAGCAGGGGAGCTTTGCATCAGCATCGGGGGAGCCCTCTCCGTCCTTGAGGGGTCCCACTTTCAACAGGGGAGCCCTGCAGCACTCGGTGGAGGCCTCTCTGTTCCTGAGAGGTCTTTCCCCAGCAGGGGAGCTTTGCATCAGCATCGGCTCTCCGTCCTGGAGGGGTCCCACTTTCAACAGGGGAGCCCTGCAGCAGTAGCGTCTGCAGTCCACGTCACGAAGAAGGTGGCCTTGAGTGACTCGTCAGAGAATCGAGTCAATCGTGCCCAAGCAATCACCCTACCTCCCCTCCCCTCTCGCTCATAGGCATCTGCCTTGGCATGATTGAGTCGGATGGGTTCCGAGTCACAGATGCCACGTAAGCATGAGAATAGGGGAGGGAGAAAAGGAGGCACGGCCGAACATCCACCCTTTTGTTGCGCTCTGTGCGTATGTATCGTCAGTGTATGGCGGTTCAGTCCATGGCGGCTCGTGTCACCTGCGGCACAGGCAAGTGCATTGGCTTTTGTGAAGCATAAGCAGCAGGTGATGGAGGTGACGGTGCTGCGGATGATAGACACGATTATGCGCATCATCGAGACGTTCCGGCCGGCTGCCTGCGACGCCACATCATCAGCTGCAGGTGTGCGAGGCCATTTCTTAGCACGATGTACACAGCACATACCAACCCCCTCAACCAGGTGCGGAGCCCACGGTTGGCCAGTGCATCCCACGGCACCGTCGACCAGTCTGTCTCTGCGCAGTCGACCAGAAGGTTAG